TCAAACACCCAATGTGCGTACCAAAATAATGTGGATAATCATATCCAATTCAATTCCTCAATTTGCAAGAGATTTACAATTCTAAAACTAAATCAATTGAAGAACGGACCTACCAGATCCACGGAGGCAAAGAACGGCGGCTGTTGAGTTGAGAGACCTCGACGGCGCCGGAAAACCTGTTTTTCGGCGAGACGAAAAGCTGCAGTTGAGTTGAGAGAGCTCGACGGACCTGGATCTTCAAGGAGAGCTCAATGCAGATCCGCAGAGGCAAACAAAACACGGCGACAGACCTCGATGGCGATGGAAACCGCGTTTTTCTGGCGACAGCTCGACGGCGACGAGATTTCTCAGCTCGTCTCGTCTGAATTTTTTTTTCCAGTTTTTATTAAATCTCCAATAAATCGAGACCTTCTCTTTTGAGAAGAGGGTTTGAGGTTGGTTTGGATGGTTTCAGTTTTTATTAAATCAGACCGAAATTGAACCAAGGCTATTTTCGTCACTTCGCATACTTATCATTAAAAGTGGGTATGAAGATTAAAGAGGGGTATAGCAGCTTTTGTTTTGATGAGAGTGTCCTTTTGAGATCTTGGCTCTGAGGCAAACAAGAGCTAGGTTAAATCGCAGAAAAAATCGTCTTTGGGAGAGACAAAGAGGGGGGGCGCTAAAAAAACTACTACGTGGAGAAAATCATTTTTAGTTGAAATTTCAAAATATTTTAGTAATCGGCGTATTAACGTGGGTTTTAATCTAGTATTGGATATTTAAGTTTATGTGCTTTTCGCAATGTTTTGAAAACAATACCGGACACCACTTCGGCATAATTACTCAATGGATGGTCGGACAGGTCTAACCAGGTTTTTAGTTTTTTTTTTAATCTATATATATAAGAAATTGAACAAAAATAATAATACATATATAAAAATGGACAATACACACTTAAATAAAATTTTCAATATCACATAACAATTACTATATGAATATACAAACTAAAAAGATAGATAACACTATTGAAATTAAAAAATATAGATATGAACAAAAAAAATTATATATAATCACTAAATCACTAACATAAAATTTAAGAGCAGAGACATATAATAATGAGATCAAAGATGGAATAAGGAAATAATTTCAAATCTCCACTTATAGAGTTCGTAACTATAATTGAGTGACATATATAATAATTGATTTTTAAACAAAAAATTAAGTTATATTCTCTTAAAAATTTGAGAATGGTTTACGAAACAAACAAAGAGATGACTTTGGGACATCCTTGATTTTCCATAGAATTGGAAACTACAAATAGAAACAAATGTGATTTTTATTATTTTTCAAAAGAGACAACTAATTTAATTTAAATGCAATGAAATGTCATTAATTATTAGCTTTCCAAACCCTAACGACTTTAAAAAAAAAACAAATTATGACTTAAATATGTTAAACCGAGTTTTTATATCAAACCGGGTCACCGGTTTTATAGGTTTTTGATCGGTTTTAACGGTTTAACTCTAATCCGGTTTTTAACTCAACCTGGACTCAGTTTTGTAAACGGTCAGACCGGTTCAACCGGTCGGTCCGGTCCGGTTTTCAAAATATTGGCTTTTCGGTATGATCATGTCAATTTTTTGTTTGAATTTAAACCAAAAAAATCGCAATATCAATCGACGCTTCGGAAGACAAAATTAATTCCTAGTTGACTAAAGTTTCAAGCGGCTCTTCGGTAACTCTTCCCAAACAATCTGAACCGTTGAGAGTAAACATCTTTTTAACTCTTTTCCAAGACGAGATTTTATTTAAAAAAAAAAAATCAGTTACAGTAAAAACCCTAAATCGACG